ATATATATATATATATATATATAACTAGCAAAAGTACCTCGCTTCGCTCGGGTTTATTAGGTTGATATATTCTAGATGGCTATATTATAGATAATTAGATGCCACTATACGTCACATTATCTAACATACATAAGAGCCAGTGTGCTTCATGTCTCGCTTGATTTTAAACTTGGATCATTTCTGAATTAAGATATTTTCTGTTATATCACCAATCAACATTTTTATAAAAAAAAATAAACCTCTTTAATCAACGGAGACCCTAAATTAAGAAATCAACAAATATTTTTCCAGTAGTTTATATGTTTTATTTTATACTTTTGTTGCTAAGCGACGTAACATAAAAGCCATTGTTGGAACACGTTACCAAAACAGACTGGATTTTATATATATTAGATGTTGTTATATAAGAAGTCATTTCTTTTCTATGTGGTGTTTTGCTAGCTTGCCTCCTTAAAAATATGCTCATGGATAAGAGAAGTAATACCCAGGTGCACACACTCAGGGTACACTTAGTATGGGTGCAGAATTTTAGGTTTCTAGGTTCTTTCTTCTTGGAGCTATGGTGGTCATACCTCTATGTGGTTCTTCACTAGCTTGCCTCATAAAAACATGCACATGCATGTGGATAAGTAATAATACTCAAGTGCACACCCTTAGGGTCTTTTCAGTATGTGTGCAAAATTTCAGGTTTGTAGGTTCTGTCTTCTTGAAGCTATGGCAGTCACACACACAGACACACCCATTTATTATTGTAGATATACACATACAATTGTGGAGAATTAGTATATGAACAAATGTCCTAAAACAATTTAGTATCTCTTCAGAAAAACTGTGGAACGCAGAATTATAGGGAAGGTATTTTTTTTAACAAGTATCCTCAACAGAGTACAGGACATAATTTTTCACTTTTGACAGTATCTTTGTACAGATATTTTACCATAATTTGCCAATTACCATTAGAAATAACACAGAACAGATTTTTGAGAGATAATATCCTTGAACTCATTGTTTATTCTAAAGTGCAGCTGGACACAGTGTATAGTTGGAAAATAATTTTGTATAGCTGAGATTATAGGGGTTTTAGGATAGGCAAATGTGGAGCAATGTTGTTTCTTTAAAATGAAATGATCACATAAATACAATAATATTTATTAATGCAAACCTTTATATCATCAAATCAAAATTTTGGTGATTAACTTAATTTAGCTTCATCAAATCGAATCCTTCAAAAAATGACACAATGATTTTGTAGATTTCTTTTGAGTAATGTAGCTTCTAGTCTTAGTTACAATATGCACGCCTCTGGGATTATACCCTTGAACCATGTCTGTTCTTTGGCTTTTGGTTTGTTTTTCGTTTTGTGGTCTCTTCTCTTGTGACATAGGAGCACTGAAGCCCTAGGCTCCCATTCTAACAGCAGTGGCATATTGTGATACATGTAAAGGTATTGGTTTTCAATATCTATCGGCATTCTACCTCTGTTGAAAGATTTTAACACAACACTTGTACTAATGAGACATTCTACATCTGTGCTATTTGGTTGCCACCAAACACCACACCAGAATTATTGTAATATTTCTGCATTCTTCGAATAATGCAAGAAAACTAATTAACTGACAAGATCATTTTGCAAATGTTCTTCATATTTTCATGCTGAAGTATTTCCTCATATTCCAGTAAGAGTTCTGTCAAATCGAGGTCTGATCCAAGAATCTTGTGAAAATCTTGCAGGTTAACTGACTGCAGAGTGGCAAAAGGCTTCATAACTGTAAAATCCCAACATCTGATGCAAAAAATTGAGTCAGGAATTCAATGAGGAGTCAATTACTTCATTAATGGCAGCATCAATAAAGGTGGTGTTCCTTACAGCAGTTTGTTTGCCTTTTTATAAACTGAATTCCTTTCAACATCACAGTTTCATCCTGCTGCGTGATAGCCTCGTCTTTAAAGACCAGGACCCGTCCTCCAAGTAAATGTTATACTTTCATTGTTAGCAGCCTGGATTTTACAACACTAGTCACCTTCTCTATGTCAAGAATTGTGATTCCACCTCCTTGCAGCTGTTTTTGGTACCTGTTGACAACTGTAAGTATATTGGCTAGAAAACAAAGGAAGCTTATATTGTCCTCATCAAGAAAGTGTGCATGAAAGCCACTTACAGCTTTTTCCTCTGAGTTCTGCATGTAACGAACAAGTGCCTGCCAGGAAACTAGAATAGAACTCATCAATGCAAAAGAAAACTCTTTCCATCTAATCTCAGAAAGCTTGGGGTTGCAAGTAGGTGGCATTTATTTGCCTCTGCCATGTTCCAAAGTTCTCTTGATCACAAGCCTGATGTGCGAAAATATGTGCTAAGCCCTATCACCCAATGAAATGTTTGTCCAACTTCAGTGAATGAGCTACTTGTTGTTCACTATGCAAGATTAGACTTTTGAACTTCACACCAAATTACTAACAAAGGAACAGAGTCTGATTTTTCTTGACTGGCATCCTTCATTTTAGACTCAAAAAGAGCCCACAAACCAGACTTCTTTCCTATATTTACAGATGCTCTGTGAATGACCAGGGAGGATGCATGCATAAAGGCATGCCTAGTTGCTGCAGATCCAACTATCATAGTACAGGCTTTTTCAACTGTATCAAGCACTCCTTTTGAACCACCACTGCAAGGTTCACTGGTGCCTAAAAGTAAAACTTGTCAACGCCAGACTTTGTAATGGCTTTTGCCATTACATAAATCTTATTTATCTATGTTCACTCCACAGTTCCATCGCATCTAAGAGACAGCAACAAAGTATCAGTTATCAGCTTCTTGGCAAGACATTCCCTGTCACTTTCTACTGTACACTGGAGAAAGTCTTTGTGAGCACTTGAAGTTAGATATTGTCAGTCAATCTTGGTCTGATGTACATTTTCCATATTGAAACTAAAGGTAGAAACCAGCTTACTCAAAACCATTTTTGCTGGAAATGTGTACACACTCATTGTAAGCTTTTCTACATCTGCACATGTGTGTAAAAAGAGGGCACCCACTTTATCTGCTAGCTTTTCATTTGCCTTTGATATTACTTTTATAAAAGAAGATGACTATGGTATTTCTACAGGCATCAGAGTTGACATTCTGAGTGCTTTACACTTTCTGTGTGGTAGGATTCCTGCAAATGATTCTCAGTTGTTTCATTCTGATATATAGTTCCACAATTTTATGCAATCAGAGGCAATTAAATTTTATTTGAATACAGTTTGACGGGTTCCGTAAACTTTTAAAATGCACTATGCCTTACATGTGAAAATGTTCAAAAACATCTTTTTAAGAGTATGTGTATATTGCTTGATAGACTTGGATTGGAATCAGTTTTCATGTTCTCTTCAGACATGGATGAATTCAATGGCATAGCAATAGTTCTCTCAGCATCTCCGATGATCATGCAATTTTCTATTACTTTCTCCTGATTATTGTCAATATTAGCAGGATCATATAAGAGTGTTAATAGTTCTGCTGTTTTGCAGAGGCATTTCTATCTCTTCCTGTGTCAGCATTCTAAAATACATAAATTTCATCATCAGGTCTACTGGGAAGTGAGACTGAAAATGTTTGGTTGGCATGCCTAGGTAGTACTGTTGGTGTGTTGTTGGATGCTTCAAGCCAGTGTTCCAGGGAACTTTCTTATTTCCTGGACTCTTCATTTACATCTAAAATAGTTGAATAAATGCTACTTCTACATACAGAAAGCAATAGATTTCATATTTTCAGTCACAACACATTTTAAGCCTATTTTTATCATTTTTTTGTAATCAAAGCTTATACATGTATTTTGTAAACTACTTGCAGTTTAATAGCGGCAGCCGTTAGACATGTTTGGGGGGGCTAGAGTTGTTTCTTTTTCAATAGATAATTAATTGCTATTATATTTTTAAGTAGATAATACAGGTCTTGGTCAGTGTGAAAATAAAGTTATAACCGTGGTAATGATTTTATGGTCTAAAATAAACAATCCATATGATGTTATCTCCAGAATTAAAATCCTGAACTAAATAACTCCAGTTTTATGTCTTATTTTAGGAATAATTACAATTTTATTGAAAAAATTCTGACTATCGGATGTCACTTTTAAGTTATTGCCAAAAAACAGGGTTTTAAGCTGTCTGGTCAGACTGTAGTTTAGACTTTTAGGCATGGACTGATGGAGCCATTGACCTTAATACAGCATATTGTTATATTTTAAATGTCACAGTTGTGTAATCATTCTTGCAATAAACAAACCTTTTATGAAATTAATGCTATTTATATTTATTACCTTGTAGTGCTTGTCAGATCGAAGTTCTAACTTCTTATAACTCACAATCATCAATGGACGAACTCGTTGCACCATGAATTGTGTGTACTGTATACTCAAAGAGAACAAGAAACACTGACGTCATGACATAAGCACAATTTACATAAATTATAAAGTTGAAAATATTAAGTTCTTAACATATTACATACAGATGAAAATTTTAAGTTGTGTGGACAATAAGTATAACTATACTTAGAAAAATTGTGCTTGGATACAGCATATCATAATAATATGAAATTGTAAATCCTTTAGGCCTGGTATTTTCTAAAGTTATAACAGTAAAAAATTACCTAGAATGCATGTCAGAATGTCCCTGACCCCTGCCTTGTGTAGTTGGAAATTTTCTTTAGAATAAACCTTGTGTGAACATCATTTTATACAAGAAAACCTATAAAATATGAATTTTTAATTATAGTATCTTTGAAAAGATACTGTAACTCATGTTTACATTTTTCAGAAAGGGGTATTTTAAACATATGTCCACACAGCCCTAAAAAGTGTTATAAAATAAAACTGTTTGTATGTTTTTAAATCTACTTGAACACATTCCCATAACAGATACTACTGTATAGAGCCAAAACATGGAATGAGGGTATATTTAAACATACATGCACACAGTCTCAATTGCTATAAAAGATATTTTACAAACAAAACAATGTGAAAATATTCATAAATGTGCATGAACACTCTCCCAATTGCTCTAACGTTAGTGCACAAATTATTATTATCATCAAATTAAAAAAAGAAGAGGGAGGGTATCGTTTTATTAGTTCAATAAACATGTTTTTCTAAACAATGTGAAGATCCAAAAAACGTGTGAAAATAGAAAAAAAAGACAGAAGTATGATTTTCACAAATCGTGAAAATGCATGTTTCTCGTGTTTGCTGTACATATAACCTTTGCTTTCACTCATGAGTTCTTAGAGTGTACAATTTTTTCTTTTGTAGATTCCATAACAAATTACCAAAATCCTTGTTCACACTTGGCTTTGAATAAACAACTTATTACAGTCTTAAATGAAAAACATTACTGTGTCATAACGTTATATAATTATTTTCTTTTTCAAGAGAATTTTCTTTTAAACATGGTTGTAATAATTCAAGACTTGTTTGGAGTAATGGGAGACTCAAAACTGTTTATTTAACAGGATATATGCACCTAATCATTAAGCAATTTGGCTTCTTATCTTTGATGTAGTGAGTATAATTTATCAATATGATTCTGTTTACTTACACTGAAAAATTAATGAGCATTAAGGTCATAAAATGCTATAGTCAACATACATTTAACTCGTACATATTATATATATATATATGTAATATACAAGTGCATCTATCTGTTTACTTACTCTGTTCAAGTGGCTAATTTTTGTATACTTTCACTTTTATGGCAATATATAACATTCACAGAATGTAAAAATTACACACTTGGTGTTTCTTGACAGTATTTCTTTACTTAATAGCATACTTGTACAATACTCTTATTGCTGTTTACTTCAAATGCCGGTCAGTTGTATATATGTTTATGCATTTTTTATACCTTCTAACCCCTGAAAAAAAGACTGTCCATCAGTCTAAAAGTTAGTGACTAAATATACTTTTTTGTTTCTTTAAACTTCTAAAACATTAAATGTATTTTATAGTCAAGATAGTTGTAACTAATTGGGTTTAACATTTATAATTACTGGATCAATGTCATATAAACCTGTTTGACATTTCTTTATGCAATTCTCATAATTTACAATTATGAATATTGGAAAAATACAACTTTATTTTATAAAATATGGCTTCAGTTCTCAGTTTTTTTGTCAAGACACTAAACAACTACAACTATATTTCTCAAATGACTTTTGCATTATTTGAATGTAATAAGTAATAATGTAATTTCATCAAACCTCACTGACTCTGCAAAAATGCACATAAAACTATTCTTTTTAAGTCCTGAACATACTCAACTTTAAATATGATGAACAAATGAAAACACATCTGCAATTTCTGTCCTAGAATTTATGGACACTGATTACAAAATATTTTATATCAGGTGTGACTACAGTCTTCAAGCTTGTGTAATTTTTGACTAAAAAAAAAAGGTTTTTGTTAGCTGTCACCAAAATGCTTAATTCTTTTGAGCCACAGTGGAAACCGTATTAATCCTGAGTATGTAACTAGAGGGAAGGCACTTGGCTAGCAGCACCCATCACCAACATTTTTTTTCTTGTTGGACTGCTGACTAGAAGGAAGGAATCTAGCTGATAAGACCTGCTGCTAGCTTTTTTTATCTTCCTGTACATTCCATTGTTTGAGGAACACTGCTAATCAAATAATAGGGCTGTTGTTTAACCCTTTCACTGTGGCTGGGCCATATATTTCCCAGACCACTGGGAAATATAAATTTCAGCCACAGTGAAAGGGTTAATTAATTAGCAAATGCCATTACCATTAATCATTCATTTATTTATACTTATCCAAATGCATAGAAAAGTCTTCACATTTATCATAGACAAAAAATCTGCAACCTATTTCATGCCATGTGACCAATGTCCTCAAATTATTTAACTTGTGTTAGTCATAAGTGACACCAGTCCTTTCCTTTATTCTACAAAATCAACAAGTATAACTGCTTTCTTTTTCAAATGTGGCAACCAACATATATTTTTTATACTGTAGACAATAAATGTAACTATTTTATTTTCATATGAGACTACTATACTTATTTTCACCTATCAACAACTTAAATAGTATTTTTGAGATGCTATTACAGTTTTTTTTATATTTATCCTAGATAATAAACACTTAGAATCTGCATATGAAACAGTGGAAGATACCCAGGAATGAAACCCATTCTGAACCAAATGTTGAATATGGGTCTAAGTACCAAGACAAGAGGGCATTAGGCAAAATATAATGGCACACCCAATTTCAAAAGCCAGGCATATAAATAGAATCCTAAATATTTGAAATGCATGTGGTGTCATACATGACTTAAATGCTGCTGAAACAAGAGTAAAATCCAAGTTGAGGCAACACCAAGACATAAGATTGGAAGTTCTGTTTTTCTTTTTCAGTAGATACTTATTAATAAACAAATCCAACAAGCAGAGTAAATTTGCACCATTACTATCTATAACTAGCAAATTAGTAACACAAAATATTTAACTTTTCATTTCCTGCACATATTGGGAAAGATTGTCAGAAAAAAAATGTGAAACTTTGCCTCAGGAGTTAATGTCTAAACAGTGTATAAGCCATGAACTTTATGGATATATTGACCAATGTATAAGCCTTGGCCCAATTAATGAAGTATTTGATGACTACAGATGATTTTATTCCATCTCTAGAGTGGACCAGTAATATTCAGGGTTATTCTTTGTAGAGGAGAACCAAAAGTTCTTTCTTAGAGCTTACCCTATTTAGACTGGCATTTTCCTTGGGTGGCATCAATTTTATAGTGTTCACTGTTATGCAAAGTCTAAAGAATCTTACACCTCAAAGCTCTGGGGGGACTATGAGCAGTAATACTGGCTGAGAAATGCTTCTCAGTGAATGATAACAATGGTACAGTACATCTTTATGCACTCTTAACTACTCATACAAGTGTCATATATTACATGCATCCATGCTACATTTCTCACTGTCAGCTGGTAACACTTTACTCTTTGCTTCACAGCAAGAAGTGCCAATGGTAGATCTTGGTCTTCCATTTGCTCCTCTCAGAGCTTCCAAAATGTTAATTGTGGCATCCATCCACTAGCGGAATCTGCTGTTGTGTGGTTCATTGATTTTCTAAGAACTTATGAGTGAAAGTAAAGATAAATATGTTATGTCAACCACACTACATCTACCATATTCAGAGGTATTTTGACCAATACCAGAGCTCATCAAGCCAACTTGGATGCAACATATATTGTATTGTTCTAGGCACTATTAATATCATGAATTCTCGTGAACAACAATTGTTATGGTGTGTACTAGATTAAGTAAGTAAAGCCCCCCAGTGGCACAATGGTAAGTCTGCTGACTTATAATGCTAAAAACTGGATTTTGATACCTGTTGTAGGCACAGCACAGATAGCCTATTGTATGGCTTTGTGCTTAACTACAAACAAACAAATGTAAGTGCTTTAATTATTATTAATTTTTTATTTAGATTATTTACAAATCAAATACTTAGAGCAAGGATTGATAACAAAGAATTACTTATTTATTTTATTTTCAACACTGATTACTTATTATTTTTTGGAATGAGAGAATGTACCCGATTTTCTGTTTTCCAAGCCTAGGAAATAGTATATGATTAAACCATTCTCTTGGAATGCTATTACTAAGTCTGCTATCATCCCTTTGGGGTTTTGATCATCCATTACAGCGATCTATGTTCCACACAAACAGTGAATTTTTTTATCATACAAGCACAAGTTTTTCCTTGTTCATCATACAGTATCTGTGCTCTGGAGCCATGAGCATATAATTACCATATGTGATTACATATTTTACTCCATCCTGCAACTGAGATAACACTGTTCCAATTCCACTATCACCGGAATTGGTGTTCAGCAGGAACTCACAATTTTGTTATGAATACATCAACACTTCAGGGACTGGAATGCTTGCTTGCTTTTTTTTCACCTGAAGTGTATTTCAGTATTAGTGAGAGTCAACAGTTGGCCACAAACCATTGGTAATATGATGTGAAACCAAGTGAACTATGAACTTCTTGTTTCATCACAGTTTAAGGTCAATCTTGCTACTATTTTAGCAAAAACGGTTGAGGTTTCTTCTCTACTCACAGTATGACCAAGAAATCTCTCTTCCATGTTCATGCACATTTTCCTGGTTTCAGTTTCAAGCCTGCTTTTTTTTCCATATCTGATGGAATGCCATTTTCAGATTATCAGCAACAGACTTGAATGTGTGACCATACATAAATACATTGTCAACATAGATTAGGAACTTCTACTATTGCAGCTCCTTTAGTGCAAGCTCCATTAGGTTGTTGAAAGTTGTGGCTGTGTAACATAGGCTGAAAACAGCATGTACGGGCTAGCTTTTCTGTTGAAGGCAGTCTTAGGTCTGCTCTTAACATTTAGCTTGACTTGCCAGATCTAACATATTAAACCAAATAGGCCTCTTCCAGTGCACCCAGATGTTGTCTGTTTACAGTGGTTTCACTCAGACAGCCTAATATATCATGGGATTTATCTGCATCAATCAGGATCTCTACCTCCCACTCTTGTACTCCAACAGTCACATATCAAGGCCCACTTAGCTCTAAAAAGCTAGGCTAACCACTGCACATTTGGGTATAAATTTTTATTGAATTTCCCCAAATCAGTGACCAGGTGACTTGGGTTCATCTAGTTCTCAGATCTGCAGCAGTACTATACATCACATGCTTTTGGCTCTCATGCACCTGTTACATCATTAATTGAAACCAATAGCTTTGTATCCTTGCTGTTGAGCAAGGTATGGACAATTCACTTAAAAGTAACCCTACATTCCAACAGGCAAAATATACTTTGCTCTTTTCTTACAGAATGATGTCCTCGTGGAGATATTGACAGCATAAGTTGTGCCAGATAAAATATTTGAGGACTGGGATAGTCCTGCCCATTCACTGGATACCAGTGTGGTTGCTTTGCAATTATGGGATGTGTGGATAGTTCACTGGGCTCAAACCTAGCATGACATGGGTGCCTGGGTAGGATGGTCTGCTTAACCCGTTGACTACCGGCTACTAACTTTCTTAGTAGCCAGAGCAAGTCTTGCAATTTGTCATTCCAACAATAAAACTACTGGTTAAAAAGTTTTAAAACTTCGTAATGACTTTAATAAATGTGTGTAGTTT